TTGTCAAATCACTAAATTGTACACCTGCAAGTGATGTAACATCATGTGTAAACTATACTCAAATTTAAAAAGGTAAAAACCATTCTTATACTAGCAAGAATTTAAGTAAATATTATCAAAGATTCTAATAAACAATGATTCTTCAGTGTTGCTCAAATACCTGAACACCAATTTTTTTCTCTTTTTTTCTTTTAGTTTTTTTGGGGAATTTTTCTAAAGAATATAGCATCACTTTTTGCTTGATAAAAATGTATTATCTTCACATCTATCTGGAAGTATTTAAATGCATAATTTATGAAAATCTTATCATTTTTATTCTATATATAATTTAAATATATAAGTTCATAATAATAAATAAATATGCCTGTCTTGCACCTGAATAATAATTTTTAATTACAGCCTCAAAAGTGTTTTCAAATATTACTTATATAAGTATTAAATTTCCCTGTGAGTTACCCATATGTCTGTGGGTGAACTGAGAGTTTAACTGAGATCAGTGAGAAAGTTAGCATAAGAGGGAGGTGGGCAGAATCAGTTCACAAACTTACTCACTAATATTTATTGAGTGTTTGCTATTGGCAAAATACTGGGCTTATAGCAGTGGATGCAACAGAACCCAGAATTGCAGAGTCTATTGTTTAGTGAGGAAGACAGACATTAAGAAATAATTATACAGAACAATATTCACTTGCAAATCGTGCCGTGTACTATGAAAAAGAAATGAAGGCTATAAGAGAAGTCTTAGTACAGACTTAATTTAGATCAGAACTTGTCGGTAAAGTCTTCTTTGTAGATATGACAAAATAAATTATCAAAAAGAGTTATCACATTTATCCATGGGAAGAGTTGGAGTAGGGACACTCCAGTCTGAGGAAACAATATATAGGAGGATGCTAAGGTAGGAAAGCACTTGGTGGATTTCAGGAAAAGATTAACGTGACTGAAATACAGTGAAGGGTGGAGGACAGTGTAAAATGAGACTAGAGAGAGAAGCAAGGGTCATATCATGCAAGGCTTGGAACTATCCTAAGAATTTTGTATTTTATCATAAATGCAAGGAGAAATCAAGGATAGATTTTAAACAGAAAGTTATAGGATCATATTTGTCTTTTAAATATTACTTTGGCTGCTATGTAGAAAATGGATGGATGTAGCAGGAGAGGAAATGGGTAGACGAGTTGGGGGCCTGTGCTACAAGGCCATGGAATAAAATGGTAGATGAGGCCAGGTAATGGTGATGACCGAACTGGAGAAAAGTGGATAGATTTAAGATACATACTGGAGATAGCACTGATAGGCCATGAGAATAGCCTGGATTCAGGACAGAATGAGGAAAGAGGTGTCAAGAACAAAAATCTAACTTTTCCTACATAGCCACGAGTTGGCTGATGGCTGATAGTGTCATTTAATGACATGGAGGAACCCTGGAGGAAGAGCATATCTGGTAGAGTTGAGAGGTGGGAATGAAGAGTTCACTTGTGAGACTCATTAATCCCACTTTGTTCTAAGTATCTGACTTACATTTTATAATAACATAGCCATATTCCCAGCCTTTTTGGTCCATGTCCTCCACTAGGAAAATCTTGAAATGGATTACGGGTTCCTGGAACTAAGATGCTACTTTCAAGAATTAATGAAGAAGGAGAATTAACTTTTTAAACTAACATGTCTAGTATTTTAGACTTTTGGCCCAGATAACAAAATAATACGTGCTTAATTTCAAATTAAAAGATTTGGAAAAGCATAATCAGTCAAGAATTAAGCATCGTGGCTAAACCCTCTAAAACCTGATCATCTGCCTTCCCAAACACACTACCTACCTCTTGGCCCAAACTTTTCTGTGCAAGAACATTTCCAATGTTCTTTCTGGTATTGAATGCAAATTTGGGGGCCATTTTATGTTGCCTTTATCTAAAGCTCTTTTAAAAGATTTCCTACTAACTAACTCTCAATGATTTATAGGCTGGAGCCACATGGCGCTGGTTGCGACTATTTGGACAGATCAGGAGGGAAGCAGGCACGGGAAGAGAATTTAAGATAGACGTCACAGAATCCTCACATGAGAGAATCCCAAAATCTACAGTGAAAGCAGAAAAGAGGGTCTAATAGCTCTTTTACTGATAAAAAGATGGCCCGGTGGTTTCATAATATCCACATTATAGTTGAGTAGTAGGATCATCGCTTATTAAAAAAAAAAAAAAATGGAGGCAGGGCAGTAATGACAACAATAAACAACATACATTAAATGTGTATCATGCACTAAATGCTCTCCCTGTGTAATATTATTTAATTTACTCTGAACCCCTTCAAGACAAGTACTCTATGACTAGCATTTTAGAGAACAGGACATGAGGCTTAGAGGTCATAAATCATTTGCCAGGGGTGCCTGGGTGGCTCAGTCATTAGGCGTCTGCCTTCGGCTCAGGTCATGATCCCCGGGTCCTGGGATCGAGCCCCGCGTCGGGCTCCCTGCTCCGCGGGAAGCCTGCTTCTCCCTCTCCCACCCCCCCCTGCTTGTGTTCCCTCTCTCGCTGTCTCTCTCGGGTCAAATAAATAAATAAAATCTTTAAAAATAAATAAATAAATAAATAAATAAATAAATAAATCGATCGCTGTGTCTCTCTCTGTCAAATAAATAAAATCTTAAAAATAAAAAAATAAATAATTTGCCAAAGGCCACACAGGTAGAAAACGGGAGAGTGAAATGGCCAGATATATCTGACTCCAGAAGTGGAGTTTCCTACCACTGTGACACAGCACCAGCACACAAAAGAGGAGATGAAGAAGCCTCAGTATTTCTTCAGTGTCAAAAGCTGGAAATAAAAACAAAATTGCGCATACATTGGTCCCCAAATATTTGGGAATATTCCAAAAGAAGGAAAGTGTCCCTGCTGTGCAGGACCATCCTTTTCTTACATGGGCCTCCTGCACACAGAGCCAACCACTTATGGGCATTGAAAACCACCTTGAGTTCAGCATAATTTCTTACAGATCTGGAGATATTTGATTTAATAATACAGTTCCTATCATTGTGAATTTCATCCTTGCTTCTTAAGAAACTGTTAACCTATAACTGTTAATTTTTTGTTCTTTAAATTTCAATGATTAAAATTCATTTTTTTTCATCTGGTCCATGATCACTGCACCCCTATGTTTAAACCAATTTAGATGAGCACTTCACTGACCTTTTCTAACACAAAGTATGGATTGGTGAATTATTTTTAGTTGAAAAAATTTGCTTTAGTTTGAGTTTCAAAAAACCAGTAAAAGAAATGCAGTGAGATATTTCAACTCAGTTTTTAGCAAAATTCTAAATGATATAATAGCAATTCTAATATGGCCATTTCTACAAAGATGCAAATACAATGAAGAACACGAAACGTTCTCTGTCACCCTTCAGAAACACAGGCATAGGCCACCCCACTCTAATACCACTCATTCTCTTTCTCACCGCACAAATGCGGCAGCTCCCCTTTTCAGCAATTCCAGTACATCTGACTGAACGCACTCTTAAATGATGAAGAGAATTTACAAGATAAGGGGCAAGGGGCATTCCACTTGAGGGGGACAGCGCACACAGCGTACAGCAAAGACTTGAAGGGAATCATCAGAAATTGGGGGTGGGGTGGATGAATGCTGGTAGGAGATAAGGCTGTGTAGACAGGCTTGAGACCAAATGTTGAGGGTCTTTTATGCTGAGTGAAGGAGTCAGACAGATACTTAAGGAATAACAAACCATTGGCGACCCATTTTCTTTCTTTCACAGGCTTCATGTACTTCCTTCACCTCCTGCTGTTATATAAGTTGGGAAAAAAAAAAAAAAGCTAACCATACAAACTAACCAAACAAAGCTAGCTTCTTTTTCCATATCCATTTGGAGCGTACTTCTACAATTCAATATATTTAGTGGCCTGATACTATGGTTCTCTGTATGTGAAATTGTTCTTTGGCACGAAGAAAAGCCATGACTAATTCAAAGGAGGCCTATTTGGGTGGAACTTTTGAAGACTATAAAGCCATTGAAAATACAGACAGAAAAATAAACTATTTTTCAGGAGAAAAAATACACTTCTACTGCTGAAGCCATGGGTATTCTTTTTATAAAAGACGTGTTTCATCTTTTACGCCTATGCAATTTCCTTCTATGCCAAAAGATTCCTCTGTGTATTAAGGGACCAACTCAAATGAAGAAGAACAATGACAATAAATTTATTTTTGGAATTTTCTGACCTGGTCAGGGCCAACTGAATAGAGGATATGTGGCATGTACATATGTGTTGTATGTGTGATTTTAAAACTATTTTTTTAACGGACTCATTTTACATATAAAATCTTGCCTTCAAACCAACTAAATTTCCAGATTATTTGGCTTTTTCAGTACCTTCTACTTTTACTATAACCAGGACTTCGACTTCGAAGAAAATTGCTCTGTAAGATTTAACACATTTTCTCATTGCAGGTGTGTGCTTCCTCCAAGGCAGGGAACATAGTCTATTACTGGCCCACATGCTGAGGGACCAGCAGAAATGTGGCAAGTTTGGTAGAACCTGGGCAACAGGCAAAATAAAATCCTGTTAGCAGGTCTAGTGAACTTGGAATGCGTTCTATCCCTCTAATAAATGTTGGTCTTATTTTTGTGGGGAGTGCTGAGCGTTGTTTGTTGCAAGTGCTTGTCATTTAATTTATTAAAATTGTGAGGATAGAAGAATGCGTGGCTATGACAAGATGCACTAAATGCAGACTCTTTCAAGTTATTCATTAAAATCATTAGTCCTGTTCCACCCCCTCTTAAACACAAATGTATTAACATCAAGACTGGTGGAATGATTACCAGGCTTCATGACACCAGAGGTCATAATATTTGTCACCTTAATTTTACAATACAATTAAGTAATGATGGATTTAAACAAATTCATTTATAGTACATTTGAGAATCCTGGGGTAAAAATAGGATCAAGATAAATGTTCCCACATTCTAATTAACATTTGCTTGGTCTTAGGAGCACGGCATCCCTACCGACATGGGCTACGCGGTGGCCCCTCACCATTCGGGTGTCTACCCTGTACACGTTCAACTTTATGAGGCCTGGAAGAAGGTTTGGAATATTAGAATCACCAGCACTGAAGAATATCCACATCTGAAACCAGCTAGATATCGGAGGGGCTTCATTCACAAAAACATCATGGTGAGCTTCCTCCGGTATGCATAGGGTACAACTAATTCTTCCAGATTTACATTCGTCATTTGAAGAAAGAACAAAAGAGAAGAGCAATATGTTGAGCACTTAACTATAGGAAAAGCTTCCTGCTGCAGGAAGTATATTTATCATATCTAAGCAAAGGATGTTTTAATTAAAGTCACTTCTTTACAATTCTTTGAATATAAAATGCTTTTTTTTATTTTTTTTTATTTTGTTTTTTTTTACTGACACTACTTCTATTAACCAGGAACTGATGTTAAAATACTAAGGAAATAATATATCTGACTTGCAGATAATTTACAGAAGCCATTATCTCTTCAAAAAGTTACTTAGTATGTAAAATGAAAACCAACTCTCTCTATATTAACCATGCTGCTCTTTTACAAGTCAAACTGTTCTTCTCTTTACCATGTCAGACCAAGCAAACAAACAAAAAACTTGACTACTTACAACAAGAAACTATACATGAAGTCCTGCATAATCACTAACAGATCATAATATAGAGTACGAATGTAACAGATGATGTTAATTAAGTCATTTACATCCCTTGTCAAATTCTCTCTAAAGCTTCCCTATTTTGTGTTTTTGTTTTTTTATTTTTTACACTGGTGACACATGCATACCGTCAAGATATGTTATTACCTAATACTTTGTGTGACCTCCCAAAGGAACTAAATCCTACTTTTTTCCCAAACTAGAAAATCCAAAGAGTGCTGATGAAGTTAGGAAGTGGCTTCCTGATTTAGACTCATCCTGGGAAGAAATACCACACAGAACACTGTGTGGTGAGGCACTGGAACTCTCTGTCAGACTACGTTTGACCAGATGCCTACTCTCTAGAATTAGGCATAACTGACTTCTTTTCACAGTTTTCTAATGTCTGCAAAAATTACAGAATGGATAATGACATTTAATTTGGATCAACTTGCATCTTGACTTTTTCCTCAATAAAAACTGTTGTAAATGCTAGATGGGGACATAATGGCTCTATTTCAGCCCAGTCTGCCCTTCTTCTTTACTGAAAATAAACTCGCTATGCCTCAAGCTGCCAGCCTTTTGACCAGAGAGAGTTTAGGAGACCTGGGTTATAATTCAAGAGTATTCAATACTTTCCTGCCATTTCTAAATCATATGCTGTCTTAGTAGAATAGTGAGCGTAAGTCTCTAAGGACTTTATTAAATGTTGTCCTCTTTTGTTTCTGTTTCTGGCTGTACTGCCAGAAAATTTGCTTGGCTGTGTCCCATGGGATATGTTCATTTTTCGTTTCTCCTGAAAACATAGTTTACCTGTATTATAAATGCACAAATCTTACAGGTAATAAAGGCTCTCACAGATTTCCTGTTTTGATGGAAGTGTCCCTATGGCTCCAGTTTTGTAGCAATCCATGGAAACCCTCTATATTTGCTTTGTGGGCTCTTGGATGAGAATGTCCAAGTGGGAAGTGCTCAGCAGGCAGTTGATTATGCAGTAAAAGAGAGAGAACATGGCTTGGAGTCATCCAACTAGAGGTGCAAATTAAGACCACAAGAGCCAATATGCCCTCCGAGGAAGAGAATGAAAATAAAAAATCACATCCACATTTTGTTTTATGAGACGAAGGAAACTTTTTTTTTTTAATATTCACAAATCAAATTCCAAAGGCCCTAAAGGAAACTCATTACTTCTCTTCAAGCCAGCTATCTTTGATCCTGCTATTCCTAATTCAGTTCTGCAATTCCAACATCATGCTGGCCACTGCCCTCCAACTTCCAGTCTCTACATTCCATCAGTAACTCCTTTACAATACATTTTTATTTCCCTTAGTTTCCCACAGCCTAATTCACTGCCTTGACTTCATGTGTAAACTGTGCTGCTGGTTCCTACTTTGTTTATAGCTTCCATTTACCGCCCACACTACAGCCTATCCCACAGAACAGTGCCAACCTTTCATTCTTTTTAAAACACTGCCTTCATCTGGGCCTTCCTAACCTTGATACTTCCAATTATCTCCACACCCCTTAACTTGCTCTTCAGGTATCTGAAAACAGTTTAGATTAAATCTACCTTTCTATCTTCTGTTTTCCTATAGCTAATACAGACTCACTCCAGCCCAAAAGTTCTAAAACAGCATTGCTGTGTCCATGTCTTTGTCATTTTTTCTACCTTGAAAGACTTTCTGACCACTCTCTACCTACTCTTCTTCCCTTTATTCCTCAATATCAAGCCCATATCCTATAATTTAATGTAAAGCACCTTGGTGTATAACAGCTGAGCGGCTAACTCAGGCCCACTGTCCTGTGAATTCCCGTAACAGATTATTTTATAACTCCACTAAGAATATAAAAGCCTACTATATTTCAAGGTGTTTGTGCCCTAACTAGAGTCTCTGGGTTTCCAGTCCTAGTGCTTTGTCTGCTACACAAATTCGGTGTTCATTCAGTAAGAAATTAAGGAAAAACCAGGACTCTCTGACCTAACCCCTGGTTGCTAAATGTGACTTTCCGGAGAAAGCCAGAGCCCTCTAAGCAATTAGACTACAGATCCTGATTATCTACTTTCTGTTTCTAATGGCGGTGTCCCTTGATAAAGATTCCCATTAGTCATGCTGCCAGCCTCCTAGGTGGTCTTTACTGGTGGCTTCTAGAAGCATTTGTTGACAGCGGCTCCAGGTTTAGGTCTTAGGTACAGGATATTGGCTTCAGGTCCGATTAGTCAAGATTTTTGTTGGTTAGGCTTTCTTAACCGTCTCCCAGTTACTGTCAGCAAGGTTTCCATAGTCTCCTCAATGTCTCAAAGTTTGAATTTGATAGTGTTACACTCCCAGAACCAATTCTACAGGGCAGTCCATAGCAAAGTACCAAAACAAACAAACAAACAAACAAACCCTCTCTCATTCCTTCTCTAACACGAGAGCTATTTCAAGGAACATGTTCAGTGTCTGTAGCATTGAGCGCAGTGAGCAAGACAATGGAATATGATCCTGTCACATTCTAAGTATCCCCTCAGGCTCCCGTGGCGGCCCGTTGATCATCCTAGGGCTCATGGTAACTTAATCCTCTCAGCAGTGCAATCCTTCCCAGAGTTGCAGGGTAAAGCCCTTGCACTTCCTCTTCTCAGTGTTCAAACTCAAATAATTTGAGAAATAGACAAAACTCAAATTTCTTTTCTCTCTCCATTTTGCATAGGATCAGCAGGGCAATTAAGTCTCAAAGACAGCTCTTTATGTTTCCATAGTTTTTCAAGCAAGATATTCAAACTGAATCCCAAAAGTGATTCAGAATTATGCACTTTTAAAATGTAAAACTAACCTAGCATTTGATCACGTGGGCATTTCATTATTTAGCTTTGGGGCATTTCTCTTTATTCTGATATACCTTAAATTCTTCAAGAGTAGAAAGAATATATCTTTGTGTTCTCCCACATGGACTTATGTAGTTGTTTAAAAAAAAATGAGTAAATGCTGTATAAAGCTTTGATTTCCAGGAAAGTGATATTTTCATGAATTGTTAGGGAATATGTTTAATTCAGTTAGAATATCTTTGCACTGGGTTCTTGTTTGCCATTGATTTTGCAGAATGTGTAGTACTTTTAAACATAAACATCACCAGAGCTAATACTTGGCAATAAATTGAAGTTCTTTTAACTATTTCACCAAGATAGAATAGCTCCCAAGGATATTTGACCAATTTACAAAAACAAATAGGATATATAAAGTTTCAATTTACACAGCAATGTATGATATACTGATTGAGCTAAGAATTGTGCTTTTTGTAAGAAACTAGATTGAAATTTATTATGATACAAAAACTAAAGAAAAAGAACTAGTATATTTGCATTTTGAAAGCACTTACTGAGCCAAATGTGCTCTAAGAATAAAGACAGAAAAAAATGAAGATCAATTTACTGAGGACAATAAGCAGAAGACTTGTATATTTAAGATTCTGTAAGCTTGTAGCTCTCCAAAGTATATTCATTAATTGTCTACTACTTTAAGTATACAGTGAGAAACACAGGTCATTATGAAGTCATATAAGATTTAGCTAAAGATTATACCATCCTGCACAGCACTAATTCACACTTTCTTTTATAATTGCACTGTTATTTTACCTGTAAGAATTTGAAAAACATACCCTTATCATGAATGTGTATAAGTGAAACAAATAATGGCTTTCATATACAAAGGATGAAAATAAGTTTTTTTCCTAAATGATGTTTTATCATTTTGTTTATGACAGTTTATAAAAATTAATAATCAAAAGCCATAATCTCTTTTTAACTTTTGGAACTGGCAGGCTTCAGACTTAAAATTTGGGGCAGTAGTCCTTCCATACTGGAGAAGACACTATGGTTTGTGTCTCAAATATTTGTTCGAATTTAAAATCTCATTCTTTTTTTTAATTTAAATTCAATTAGCCAATTTATTTTTTTTAATATTTTATTTATTCATTTGAGAGAGAGAGAGACAGAGTGAGGACAAGCAGGGGGAGAGGGAGAGGAAGAGGGAGAAGCAGACTCCCTGGGACCTGGGACCATGACCCAAGCCGAAGGCAGACGCTTAACCATCTGAGGAACCCACGTGCCCCTCATTTAGCCAATTTATAGTACATCATTAGTCTCAGATGTAGAGCTAATTTATCAGTTGCATATAACACCCCGTGCTCATCACATCCCATGCCCTTCTTAATGCCCATCACCTAGTTACCCCATCCCGCCATGCCCCCATCCACCTCCCCTCCAACAACCCTCAGTTTGTTTCCTGTGGTTAAGAGTCTCTCGTGGTTTCTCTCCCTCTCAGATGACTTCCCATTCTGTTTTCCCTCCCTTCCCCCGCAGTCCTCTGTTTCTTATATTCCACATATGAGTGAAACCATATGATAATTGTGTTTCTCTGATTGACTTATTTCACTCAGCATAATACCGTCATTTCTTAAGAATCACATTAAGTCAATAATTGACTTCATTTTCTAGTGCATGTGTAGAATTTGGCAGAAAGTATTATCCTTAAAATTTTTGCCTACTAGATTACAGGGTAGACAATTCCAATATTTTTAAAGTCTCATTTTCACTTTTTTTTATTTCTTAAGATGCTGGAACATACTAGGCTTCATAGCAGCAGTACTGATTTGGAGATTTAAAATAGATAAGTGGCTAAAATAATTCAAAGTCTATCTTAGTTTTAAAATATTTCTTCAACTTTCTTCAGTATTCTTTCTTTACTGATGTCATTCTTGCTTTCCCAGAGTGTGAAGGATTTTCTGGGTCTTAGTTAAGAGTTGAATAATGACACCAGCTTATGCATCAGCTTCCATGGGAAAAAAAAAACCCAAGTTTCAACAAATTAATGGTTGAAAGAACTTTTTCCTTACTTGTTTATTCTTCCTTCAGGTTCTTCCAAGACAAACCTGTGGGCTTTTCACTCACACAATTTTCTACAAAGAATATCCAGGAGGTCCTAAAGAGCTGGACAAGAGTATCCAAGGAGGTGAACTTTTCTTCACTGTGGTTCTCAATCCAGTAAGTACTTTGAGTTATTCTCCAAAAGAAAAAAATGATGAAAAATGACAGGGTGGCTGAAAATTACCCTGACAAAAAGGCCAGAGTTTGGGTGGTGTCAGCCAATTCAATATGAAGTTTTAGCTCCAAAACAGAAAAAATTCAATGGAACCACATCTGGAGATGAGGGCAAACTCATTCTACAAGGAGCAGTGACATGAGGAACTTATGGAAAGCCAAGAAAGTACTCCAGAACCTCCTTTGCATTGAAAAGTGTTCAGAATTCAGAGATTTCTTGCTTTTATGGAGAACAAGATCTTTTTGAAGTTTTTATTTGAATTCCAGTTAACATAGAGCATACTATTAGTTTCAGATGTACAATATAGTGATTCAGCACTTCCCCTCAACACCTGATGCTCATCAACGATGCCCACCTCCCCTCTGGTAACCATCAGTTTTTTTCTCTATAGTTAAGAGTCTGTTTCTTGGGTTGCCGCTCTCTCTTTTTTTTTCCTTTGTTCATCTGTTTTGTTTCTTAAATTCCACATATGAGTGAAATCATATGGTATTTGTCTTTCTCTGACTGACTTATTTCACTTAGTATAATACTCTTTAGCTCCATCTACATCATTGCAAATGGCAAGACTTCATTCTTTTTATGGCTGAGTAGTATTCCATTATATATATCTACCACCTTTCCTTTTTTTTTAATTTTATTATGTTATGTTAATCACCATACATTACATCATTAGTTTTGGATGTAGTGTTCCATGACTCATTGTTTGCATATAACACCCAGTGCTCCATTCAATACGTGCCCTCTTTAATACCCATCACCAAGCTAACCCATCCCCACACTCCCTCCCCCCTAGAACCCTCAGTCTGTTTCTCAGAGTCCATAATCTCTCATGGTTTGTCTCCCCCTCCGATTCCCCCCCCTTCATTTTACCCTTCCTACTATCTTCTTTTTTTTTTTTAACATCTAATGTATTATTTGTTTCAGAGGTACAGGTCTGTGATTCAACAGTCTTACACAATTCACAGCGCTCACCATAGCACATACCCTCCCCAATGTCTATCACCCAGCCACCCCATCCCTCCCACCCCCCACCACTCCAGCAACCCTCAGTTTGTTTCCCGAGATTAAGAATTCCTCATATCAGTGAGAACATATGATACATGTCTTTCTCTGATTGACTTATTTCACTCAGCATAATACCCTCCAGTTCCATCCATGTCATTGCAAATGGCAAGATTTCATTCCTTTTGATGGCTGCATAATATTCCATTGGAGATATATATATATATATATATATATATATATATATATATATATACCATATCTTCTTTATCCATTCATCTGTCGATGGACATCTTGGCTCTTTCCACAGTTTGGCTATTGTCTACCACCTCTTCTTTATCCATTCATCAGTCAATGGACATTTGGGCTCTTTCCATAATTTGGCTATTGTAGATAATGCTACCATAAACATTGTGGTGCATGTATCCCTTTGAATTAGTATTTTTATATTCTTTGGGCAAATACCTAGTAGTATAATTGCTGGATCATAGGGTAGTTCTATTTTTAATTTTTTAAGGAATCTCCATACTGTTTTCCAGAGTGGCTGTACCCACTCTGTTTGCATCCCATCAACAGTGCAAGTGGGTTCTCCATTCTCCACATCCTCACCAACACCTGTTGTTTCTTGTTTTGTTGATTGTAGCCATTCTGACAGGTGTGAGGTGATAGTTCATATGGTTTTGTTTTGTATTTTCCCTGATAAGTGATGATGAGCATCTCTTCATGTGTCTGTTAGCCATCTTTATGTCTTCTTTATATAAAGAATTTATAAAATTCAACACCCAAAAAATGAATAATCCAATTAAAAATGGGCAGAAGACACGAATAGACATTTTTCCAGAGAACAAGATTTTTCACCTGTAAAACTCTCCTATTCCCACTGTGGACTAGTTTTCTCATTTAGGTGACCACTGACACTATTATTCTTTTTTTCCCCTTCCTATTTAAAGTAAAGGTATAAGCAAAATGGAAGAGGAATTAGATAAGCAAATATTGTCATTTTGGATACATTTATGTGAGATCTTGTCTTGCTAGGTCTCAGGCTGGGCAGATCAGCCTGTTTAATTGGCTTCTGCTCTTCTTCCATCACTTCTTAATACTTGTGTGCCAGCTCCACAATGAACCTTTTGCGCAGATATCTGCCTGAGGCGAGTATTATAAAGTTGTGTAGACAAAGACGAACTAATTGAAGTAAGGTGTATAAGGAAAAGAAGGGATTTTTATTTCCCTTCTGAATATCACTAACATAAAAAATAAAATTAGGTTTATTTATCAGATGTATGGGTTTGCCCCTGGCATTAGCAATATTCAAGATGAAAAAGTTGTAATTTTCCAAATATGAAAAAAAGTCTATTAGCATGAAAGTTGAAGAAGATAGAAATAAAGAGAATAAATTTGAAAAGCCCCACTCTGGATCCTAATTTTACAGGTCTTACAAATAAAATTACAGGTATTTTTCATCTTCTTGTATTTAATGACTATATTTATTTCTCGACTTCTACAAAATGATATTAGAAGTTAGGGTAACTCATCTTTGGGAAAAATCAGCATGTGTATCGAAAAATTGAGATGATTTCAGGTAGTATGCCATTTTGCCTTTTGGAAGTTTATCAGTCTTCATACCCCAAAAATATAAATAATTCTGATTTATACATCAGAAATAATCTGATTTTTCTAACATACCTATTCTTTACAAATGGAAGCATCTTTGGAATCATCTCTTATGGCTTTCTTCTTCTCTCTCTCTCTTTTGTCAATTCAGCCAGTAATACACAGGTAAAAGAGTTAAACCAATACTTGACTATGAACTAAAGACTAAGTTAAAATATTCTTAATATGTTAACATTTTCACCAATAATTTTAAGACCCTTTAGTCTGCAAAGTATAAAATTCTGATGTTTTATATTTCCTTTCATTGTAGAGCAATAGGACTATGAACAGATAATCATCTATTTGATTCTTTTTTTTTTCTTAGAGAGAGAGTGTGTGTGAGCCGGGGCCGGGGGGCTGGGGGGGCAAAGGGAGAGAGGGAGAGAATCTTAAGCAGACTCCACGCCCAGCACAGAGCCCAACTCGAGGCTTGATCTCACAACCCTGACATCATGACCTGAGCCAAAATCAAGAGTCGGCCACTTAACTGACTGAGCCACCAAGGTGCCCCCTATTTGATTCTTTTAACCAGTAGTTGCTTTGGTGCTTAAGAAATTCCTAAGTGGTATTATAATTTCAGAACTTCCTAGATATTAGTTTCATTTAACATGGAAGAAATTCAATATTAGATCATTCATATACAATAGATTTATAAGAAATGTTTTTCACTATTTCAAAACCAAATTATTTTCTTTTTTAATAATTATTCTATTTTATTTGACAGAGTGTGCACGCACACAAGCAGGGGGGAGGGGCAGAGGGAGAGGGAGAAGCAGACTCCCCGCTGAGAAGGGAGCCCAATGAGGGGCTCCATCCCGGGACCCTGGGATCATGACCTGAGCCGAAGGCAGATGCTTAACCAACTAAGCCACCCAGGCACCCCCCCCGGATTATTTTCTTAATTAAATACAAATCTTGTAGTAAAGCTTCTATGAGTCATGGATACAAATTTGAGCTAAATTAGCTGAGCAAATGCTTTAAATGTTTAGCAAATCTTGCTACTTTTCAGGCCTTTACAGTTAGTATTTGGCAATTTTGTTTGTCTTGATGAGAAGATCCACAGGGAATAAAGGGGAGAAAAAAACTTTTCCAGAAAACTTGTGCTTTCCTGATTCAGAAAACTTTCAGTAGACAATTACTTTCAGGTAAATGCTGAAATTCAAAATTGACAGATCCTTGTCAGATATCATAAGATAGGGAAGGAATCCAAATTAATTTCATCTGCCATGACAAAAAGCAACTGTAGTCACCTGGAGATTTCTGGTTGAGAAGTCCACTTCTAAGACTCAGCCCAAGTCTCACCCAAGGGAAAACTGCTATCATTAGTTTGTGATGCTGCCTTGGGAGAAGAGTGAGGAGGAGTGACCTGTTTCCCATGAATTCTCCATCCCAAAATTACATGTTTGGGTAAAGCTTGTGTTAAAATTAAGAGAGGTCCAGGTGCAGTGAGGCATGCTACTAATTTGGCAGATGGCTCTCTTTTTTAGGTCAGAATGAGAATGAGAAAAACCTTGATGGAATCAAAGTAGATATTAGCTGCAGGAAAGATATGAAATTTAATTACAGTGAATTTGAATGGTAGCCATTATAAGCTTAAGTAATACCCCAGTCCTTGATTAGAAGTGCCATTTTCTGAGAATGCTGAATGAGTTTTCCAACATACAAAAAGGTATATGTGTATTGGAAACATACCTATATCTCTTAAATATATTCAAATACACTTGAGTTGAAAATGTAAATATAAACAGGACTTCAAGTAATGTATTTTAAAAGTTTCCTGCCCATATGTCAACATAATATCAAGGTGCTACAGTAAGTTTTACCAGTATTGGGGTGAGAGGTAGCTGCAACAGAGTACCTCTCAGAGTTCAATTAGAATAGATGACAGCAAAGCTAACTAGAATAACACTCTAGTTTGAAATGTTCTACTGTTACCAAAGTATTTTTTATTACTAAAGAAAAAAATGCCAATCAAATAAATTTAATGCAGATAAAAATATATTAGCACTGTCTAAAAGAGAGAAAACCTCAGCCTTCTCCATATGATATTTCCAATATCACAGGCCTAGACCCCTCTGATGTGGGTTGGATACAGAGATTTTGGTTAATATATTGACTTTGAAGTTTAGGTACAGTTGGGAGGTGGGCCCACCAGGCTATCTGACCCTAGGACCACGAAGAAATTAAGAATTCTTTTCTTTTTTGTGTGCGTCTGTTTCTAAACTCACCCCGTGATTTCTTGATTATAGTTCACTTTCCTATAGGAAAAGAATATGTTGATCATAAGAAC